CTTGTCAAACCGTCCATCAACAAGCATTCATGAAGCCCTTGCAGTGTGCCACGGGCTGGTGCTTGTCTATGTACTAGGTGTGTGTCTCACCTCCCTCCCTGATCATAAGCTCCTTTAGGAAAAGGTCTGTATCACTTCTCCTCATCATATCCCCTAGCACAGTCCCTGCATATGGCAGGTGATTAATAAATATGAATTTGAATTTCAGTTGGATGTTTCAACATTCACTTCAAGAAAGACTAGATACTATTTGAATCTGTGGTTTTCTTCCTCCATCTAGTGGCCATCAGTTTAGCATTATGGCCAGAAGGATAGCAAGCTTTCAGTCTCCTTAAGGTTCTGCATCTTGAGACATCTCCAGTTGATATCTGGCCACTGGACCTAGATGGTTCTGGATGAGAAAGTGAGGCTGGTGACTTTGCACAGTCCTCCCTCAGTCAAATCAAATTAAATTGCAAGTCATGTCATCATCTCCCTTCAAGAACAAAGGACAAACCACACACACACACATACAACATTAAGGTTGATAAAGTACTTCTTTCACGACAACGCTGTGAGGTATATGTTGTGAGTATTGTCATTACCCTCATATCCCAGAGGAGGAAACTGAGGCTCAGGTATAATTAGGCCAAATGTTTAGAAGGGCTGGAGCTGAGACGCAAATCTGGATCTTCTCAACTGGAGACTGATGGCACCATTGTACACTCATTGCCTTTCCAAAGCCAGGCATGGAGATTGTGAAGGAAGAGAACCTCAGAGTTGGAAGGGACCTTAAAGGTCGAGTCTAGTTCAACATGTGCTCCCTTCTTAACATATCCAGGAAGGGGCTCAACAAGCTTTTTCTCAGCCCTCTACCAAGGCAACACCTTGGTAGAGGTCTCAAGGCAGACAATTCTGCCTTCAGGTGCTCTAATTTTTAAGGAATTCTACTTTATGTAGAAATGTTGAATGGGGACATTCCACTCAGCTCATTCAATTACCATTCCTGGTTCTATTCAACCATGTAGGAGCTTTGGGACATGTTTTTGGCCATGTGATGACCCAGGCTGAAAGAACTTTATGTGTCAGTCAGTCAGTCAACAAGCCAAAAGAAAAACAGTCCCTGCCCTCAAGGAGCTTACATTCCAGTGGGGGAAGATAAACCTAAGACAGAGCTAAAAAGCTTTGGGGAAAGGGCAAGGTTCCCAGCTCAGGGGCATGGTAGAGGAAATCTGGAGTGAAGCCTCAAAGGAATGAGGCATGGCCCACCTGGGCAACCACCTTAGATGGAGGTCGGGGTGGAGCCATCCAGTCAGAGGGAGAGGCTACTTTGAAGGTGTGAATTAGGTGTGAATTCCAGGGCTGGCATGATGTGGTAAGCACTGAGTGTCTCTTGTTCTTCCCATCCTCTGAGAGAGGCAGGGTACTGCACCTGTTAAAGTTGCAACTCTACCCAGGTGACATCATGAAATACCACATGTTTCAGTGAGCAGTAGGGAAGGTATAGCCTTTCTCCACTCCAGTATCATCGCGTGATCGTCCTGATCACATGGAGTCTGAATCACATGTCCTGCCTAACCAAGCCTGACTCATCAGAATTTGTTCAGCCCTTTTCCCCAACTGTCTGAGACAATCTAAGGCATCTCCTTAGATCCTGGTTTTTCCTTTTTTAATTCTCTCTTCAGCATCAGGAAGTTTGTTTTGTTTGTGACTATTTCCTCCCTGTGAGAGGTGAATTTTCATTAATCGAAAAATAATTAATTTTAAAATAAGAACAGCTCCTATCTTCCTCTAATCCTACCGAGGTCCTGAGTCCACGCTCTGGGTCATAAGCCCCAAGTCCAAAGTTCCTCCAAAATTTCTGCCTCTTCCCTTCAGGTTCTGCCACCGATGTATGCATGTGTCAAATACCCTCTAGAAAATGTTACCTTTGCTCCTCTGCCCGCTGAAAGGAGGGATTTTGCATCTCTAAAACTTTGGGGTGTGAATGGATTCTGTGTCAGGGAGAGCTGTGGGCATGTAAGCACTTGGCAGATGTTTTATCAGTTTTCTTATTCAGTCGACATACTCTTCGTTTGTTAATCCTATGCCACCAAAGTAAGATTCTATGTTCTTACTTTTTTGTGCAGTTTGCTTATGTTCCCAGCCAATTACTTGACTTTTAAACTCTTTGTCAGGGTAGGGCTCTGCTTCCAGTGTGAAGGGCATACTGTTCCAAGCTTCAATGTAGCTGTTTTCAAAGGTACTTCTAAGGTCCTGTAAATTTTCAGTTCTTCCAAGGTTGTATGATCTAAGGAGAGTTGTTTACTCCTTTCCTGGCCTGTGCTCTGGTCTATGAGTGACCACAAGCACTCTTTTCTGCCCTGAACTGTGAGGGGGATTTACTCTGTACCGCCACCATAAGTTCCACCACACCAGTGCTCCTCCTTGCCCCAGGATCACCACCCAGAACTGTGACCCAGATCCAAGCATGGGAGAAGCAAGAGAATCCTGCCTCAGCACCAGCAAAGAGATCCCTGAAATTCCTCTCTGATCAGCCGCTTGATCCCCCCACCATCTATGGGCCGAGAGCTCTGGAAGCAGCCGCTGCCATTGTGGCATTGCCCTGGGGCTGTGCTAGGACTAGGGCTTGACTGGGCTCCTCTCACCCAGGTCCAACAGACCTTTCCCACTGACCTTCTGAGTTGTCTTTGGCGTTTGTGGGTTGAGAAGTCTGGAAACCGCCACAGCTCCCCTTGATTCAGTCCCCTGAGGCCTGCTCTGGGTTTGCTGAGGCCCCGTCTTTACCTGTGCAGCCCACACTGAACTGCGCTCCTCTCCCAGTCCAGCACAACAGACTTTTCCTATCTACCTTCCAGGTTGTGTTGGGCTGGAAATTTGTTTTACTCTATCTTTTTGTGGGTTCTGCTGCTCTAGGATTTGTCTGGAGTCATTTGTACAGGTATTTGAAGGGGTTTGGGGGAGAGCTCAAGCAAGTCACTCAGCCATACTGGCCCCACCCCCACTTCCTTGGCTTCTTTTAAGTCCCAGATAAAATGTCATCTTCTGAGATTTCTTTTCTGATGCCCCTTAATGCTCAGTGCTTTGCTTTTATTGACTGACTTCTAATGTATCCTGTATAGATCTTGTTTGTACATAATTCTTAGAATGTTGTCTCCATTAGACTGTGAGCTCCTTGAGGGCAGGGACTGCTTTTTCCCCCAACTTTCTTTGCATCCCCAGCACTTTGCACAGTGCCTGACATACAGGTGGTACTTAATACATGCTTGTTGCCTTGCCTTGCCTTCCCAACAGGCCTAAGTGCATAACTCATCTCCTTCCTCTTCCCCTCCTTAGGCTTCCCAACCAGACAACCACAAGGTTAGAGCTCCAGTGATGCCAAGCTTGTCTCAGGCCATAGCAGGTTGGGCAGCTGAGGACTGGGCTGGCAGAAAGCATTCACCTTAAACCTCCTAATCACCTGTCTTCCTCAGGGAACCTCACTGCTTCTCTACCTAGACTTCCACCTACTCCCCCTCTCTTTAATATTGTCACACTAGATCTCCTAATGTGGAAAACCATCTCCCTCCCCAACATTCCTCTCCCAAACCTACCCCACTAGTGCTCCACTCCAGACTGGCCATTCCCCTCCACTGTGCTCTCTGGAGTATCTGCTCCATAATGAACAAACTTCTTTTCATCCAGAAACTCTTTCTTCCTTCCTTCCTCCTCCCATCTCCAGACCCTGAGCCCAGGCTCCTTTCTGATGACATTGGTTTCCTTGCCACTCTTTCCAGTACAAGTGATATTTCTACTCCTTCCGCTGACTTACCAACCATTGTGGTAGGAATAGAACACCCTTTATTCCCCACTGCCACTTTTAGTTACTCCCTCTACCAACATCCTTCAGCAAATGCTTCCTCTTCTAAGATTCATTCAATCAAAATTGATCACCCAGGTGAGATTCTAGTGTCTGTCATCTACCAACCCGAGACACTCTCCCTCCTTTTTCGGTTCAGTGTCGCGCTCAGAGTTTTCCTCTCTACCCCAACCCCTGCTCTCATTCTAGAAGACATCAAAATACATGTTGATGGTCCTTTAAATATCCTCATTCCAATCTACTGAACTCCCATGACTTACTCTTACTTCCAATCAGTTGCCAAATCTTGCTACTGCTTTCTCTACATCTCAAGCGTCCATTCTTTTCTCTCACATAGCCACACCCATAATGCAGGCCCTTATCACTTCCCATCTAGACTACTGTAACAGCTTTCTACCTGGTCTCCCTACCTCAGGGGGCTCCTATACCAAACCATCTTTCACTCAGCTGCTGAAGTGATTTTCCTGAAGGGCAGGTCTGATCCTATCATTCCCCTTCCCCACACCCCCCTTCCCAAGATCAAATAGAAAGCATTCAGTTTGGCACTTAAGAGCTGGACCCTTCCAACTCTTCCAGTATTCTTATGCTACCCTGCCCTCCATAACAAAGCTACACTGGTCTACCAGCTGTCCCTTAAACATGACACTCCACTGCCTGCTTCCCATTTCTGTACCTTGGCAGTGACTGTCCCCTATATCTAGAATGTTCTCCTTCCTCACCTCTGCCTCTTAGTTTTCCTAGCTTCCTTCCAAACTAATCTCAAATCCAACTTCTAAAAGAGCCCTTTTTTGTATCCCCTCCCAGCTGCTAGTGCCTCCCCTCTGAGAATATCTTGCAACTACTTTATATTTCTCTTGTATTTTCTGAGTTATATATGTTGTCTCCACCATTAGAAATGTAAGCTTCTTGAGGGCGAGACTTGTTTTTACCTTTTCTTTCTATTGCAGTTGTTTATTACAGTGCCTGGACCATACTAAGTGCTTCATCAATGTTTGTCAATTTCTTTTATCTTAGCAAAATTACCCCTGGCAAGAAAACCATATATTAGCTTGCTAAAAGAGAAACTCTAAAATTCAATTTTCTGCTATGGTCTGCAGAGACAGATATGCTACATCTCTATAAGATATAAGAAATACTCAATACACATGTTTATATTGCATTCATAACTTTATAACTATAACATTTTTTCCTATAATTGCAGCAGCATCTGTCCTTCTATGGTTCAGCAGATAAATGAACGGGCTTTACTAGCTGAAGAGACCTGTTTTTTAAAAAAGCAAATATTAGGTTATGAAAAATTGCAAGAGTCAAGGCAAGAGTAGGATTTGTCAAGATGAGTGCCTCACCTCCTGTGAGATTCAGCCAGGTACAGAGTGGGGAAGGGAATGGAAACGGCCCTCAGCTGCAGCAACCCAGACAATGCTAGTTTTCTGTATTTTACTTACTGGGAGACTGGATGGGGGTGGGGAACAGACATAGGACCAGAAGGCTCACAAACAGCCAAAAGCAGACGTCTAACCAACAGCAGGTATACTTTGGGAATGCAAAGAGAACCCAGACTGCTTAGCTTAGTTTAGCCCATCAGTCATTCACAATTTACTGTCAATTACTTGATTAAAATTAATATCTAGCTGATTTCAGAGGGGAGGAGAGAGAAATAACAGGAGCTATTCACCAGCACAAGTCAGATTCCTACTCTCAAGCAACCCTTCTCCTCCCTTGGTTCTCTCACGTCTATATTCTCAGCTGATTTGGAGTCTGAAGACTCCTGGATCTGCTACTTTCCACCTGGCACAATTTGGCCAAGTAACTTCCCTAGGATTGGCTCCCCAAAGAAAAGGCCATACTAGATGATTCCTAAAGTCTCCTCCACCTCCAACTCTACAATTGTTAGTATGGGGAAACTCTCAGAGGACTTCTAGACCTTACCCCATATAAAGGGAAGAAAAGCTTCTCCTGCTTTCTCAGATGTCACTGAGCAGTGACAACTGCTGTTGCAGGTCACAACCCATCTACACTGTCCCATCTTTTGGGGCCCTTATCCTTTCACATAGGCTCTATACAAGATGGCAGAGCCCTTCCTTAATGCTCACTCTTGCTTGATCACCTAGTCCTAGAGGTAGAGCTGGAAGGAATCTGAGAGGCCATCAAGTTGTCCCCTGGCAACTGCAATTTTCTTCTGCTGAGGTCACAGTATTTTATGAGTCATGGCCTCATAACATCACCAGAAAAATTGCCCAGAATTCACTGGAAGGAAGCTAGGGAGCTGAATTGCTTTTGGAAAATTGTGTGTAAGGTTTTCAATAAGCAGGTTCTGCTTCCTGAAACAAAATCCCAGCTAGTTAACACCAATATTTCAGCCTGTGAATAAAAAAAAAAAAGACTAGAAAGTACAGAGTAGATTACGTACATGAACTCAGTGTGCTTTTTGTATTTAAAAATCCAATTACTGCACATAAGTAAAATAGCTTACAAAACATGCATGACTATAAGCAAAAGAGTGTGGTCTTCTAGATACTTTTTTCAACAACAAACATGTATAATCTTGTTGAGTTAAATGAAACATATTGAAATCTCCCTCGTGGGATGAATTGTTCTGCACAGAATAAAGATCATAGTGTTGGAACAAGAAGGGACCTAAGAGATCAGCTAGTGGAGAATGAGGCCCTAGAGGGAAAACTACTTAACCCTAGTCCCACAACTAGAAAGGAGTTCAAGTAGAATTTGAACCTAGGTCTTCAGGCTCCACATTCAGCTCTCTTTCTGATGGAATCCTAAAAAAGCTGCCCCCAGCCCCAATATTCTAACAGCAGGCATGTCCTGATTTGACCACACAATCTAGCTTTAACCATATCACATGCCCCTAAATATGCCTCACTAGAATAGCAGGCATGTCCATGTAATGGAATCTTAGCCATTGCCTCCAGCTAGCTATTGCCTCCAGACCCAATATTCTAACTTCCTTATGGGCCTCACAGAAACAGGTGTGTCCATGCACTCAACTAATCTCAGACAGGACCACAATAGCCAGCCAATCAAAAAGCAGCACCACCAGGATGACTGAGCAGGATGTGGACGCCTAAGTAGATGCCTGCACAGTTATAGCAAAAAAATGTCCATTAGGTGAACTTATAATATAGAGAGGCTTATTATAATATCATTATCACACGCACATGGCCCCCAAGTGGGCTTTTCTATATCTATTATGGATAATCACATGCACAGTTCCACCAAGGCTGGGACCCCTCCCCTATTGCCTAATCCCTTAACAAACCCCTCCTATATTTTAATATTCATATATTCTGTAATGATGTAATTGCATCTTTTGCTCTATAAAAATCTCCATCTTGCTCTGATAAGCTGCTTGCATGAGTGAGCCCAGTCCACTTTCTGAGAGGAGTAATTCTCAATAAATGCCTTTTCTTGGCTTAGAGATGGTCTGAATCTGTGAATTCTTTCAAGATGGCCCCATACCACACCATGAAACAACAACATCATGAGCTAATAAGCCTGTCACAGGACTTGGACATACTTCTCCCAAAAATTAACCCTAACTTAACAAAATTACACATCATTTGGGAGAAATGACCTCTTGCACTCCAGGTCACTCCTCAGTCTTGAAGGCATAACTTGGAGGTGTAAGAGCACCCTATCAACATATCAAGCAGTTCACAATAAGATAGACTATAGTTCCAAACTACTAGTAAGCTCAACCAGTGGCAGATCTAGTAGGCCCTATTTTTCAGTCATTTTGGTTTCGCTATTCCCAGAGCATGAAAATCACTAGGCCGAAGTATTTTTCTAAGAACCAAAACACATCTCTCTCTGACCAGTTACCACAATGCCCACTTCCACAACAAAAAGGAACAAATTTACAGCTACCTAATCCTATTTGTACCTCTTAGACCTGACCTTCAGACTGCATGACCTAGAAAGTAACTCACATCCTGGGTGATATGACCTCTGTACCTAGAGAAGGATCAGATGACAAAAGGTTCCTAATATTCAACTCCTGACCCTTTATGCCCCTTAGAGAGGCTAGTTGAGAGGTGCTTTGAAATAAGGTACATCTAGTCATTACATACCACTTACTGGAATGTATTTCATATGCTTAACTTCAAGTATTATTCCTATCCTGGGAATCTAAGTTTTCTTACTTCTTTAAAAATCACAGTGACTAGTTATTTAAAAGTAAAGAAGTTTCACTAGCTTCCCCTTGCAGACTTCACTGGTGGGATTTTAGCAGCTTCTTACCTGCTGGGTGGCTCCATTTACTTGTTTTCAAGAGAGGATGTTTTTGTAGCTGGTGTCTTTTCTTTTACAGAAGAACCTTTGGATACATTAGCTACAGAAGCAATACTGGTAGAAGACAAATGTCTTCTCAAAGAACCAGGACTAAAAGATGCTCCTGCCTTTTCATCCACAGCAACAAGGTTAAAGTACTCAGTTTTTCTTGGCTGCCTTAGGTTTGAAACAGCACTTGACTCAGCTTTCATTGGCTTTCGGACATTAAGCAGAGGTTTGCCAATACCCGAAGAAAATTGGATTTTACTAGGAGCCAAGCCTACTGTTGGGAGTAAGGGAGAGGGGAGGAAAAAAGAAAGAAAACTTTAGAATGTCAGCTTGAAAATCATAAGGAATTCAGAAGCACAATATATTTATTCTCAGTGTTAGTAAAGACATCTCCTACATTTAAAAAAATCATAATTATTTGAAGAAAGAATCCAAGAAACAGTCACAACACCAGCAAGATGTCTGATTCATATTTTCTACAAGCCACATTAACCCTTCATCCTCCCCCACAGAAAGGAATTATATGCCAGATACCAATTACAGATAAAGAGATGAGAGATGATAGGACCTCCTAGGCAAAGTTAAAAAAATAAACAAACTTTTGAATTAATACTTATTGTTATTTAGTTGTTTTCAGTCATGTCTGACTCTTCATGACTCCATTTGGGGTTTTCTTGGCAAAGACAGTGAAGAGGTTTGCCATTTCCTTCTCCAGATCATTTTACAGATGAAGAAATGAAGGTAAACAGGGTTAAGTGACTGTCCCTGGGTCACATAGCTAGGAAGTGTCTGAGGCTAGATCTGAACTCAGGAAGATGAGTTTTCCTGATGTTAGGCCCAGACAGCTATCCACTGTGTCACTTAGCTGCCCCAAATTAATACTAAAGAACTTTAAATACTTGCTTGAAGTGCTTCATTTGCTTAAGGCCCTACCCACACTGGCCTCCATGAATCTAGGGCAGCTAATGTAAGCAAAGTCTCAAACTAGTACCTGAGGCCCAGTTTTACGGTGCAGACCCTGGTGACTACAGTGACTCTGCCCAACTTGGCAGAAATTAGGTTTAGATCACCATCTTTCAATGTATACCACAATACCTTCAAAATGTATCTAAAACCTGAATATAAAAAGTCACACCATAAAAAAAAAAAAAAGCTGAAGAGATTAGTTATGTTTCACAGGTATGGCTATGGTCAAGCAAAGGATACAGGTAACCACAAAAGATAAAATTTCAATTAAATGAAATTCATACTTTTTGCACCAAAAACAAAAACCAAAAAAACAATAGAACTAGGATAAGAAGGAAAGCATTGACTGGGGGGGGGAGGGGGAATTACCACATCAAATGACTCTGATATCCAAGATTTATAGGGAACTAAAACTAATTCTGAGCCATCCCCCAATGAAGAAGTATTCAAAAGGTAGAAAAAAATCAAAACAAAAATTGCAAACTATTAGCAAATATATTAAATATCTGGCATGGATTACTAACAAAAGAAAGTGGTCAGTGTTGGAGGGGTTGTGGGGAGATGTGAAGCATGTCAATAAAGCTATGAAGTGGTCCAATTATTCTAGAAGGAAATATGGAACTGAGTCATCAGAAAGTGACTAAAATGTCCATACTCTGATCTGGAGGTCTCATTGCTAGGAATAAACCCCACAGAGGTAAAAATTACTCAATTAATAAACATTTATTAAGTACCTGCTACATTTCAGGCACTATGCTAAGCAATGGGGATACAAATAGAGGCAAAAGACAGTCTCTGCCACCAAGAAGCTCACAATCGAATGGGGGAGACAATAAGAAAGCAAATACGCACAAATTATATATGGTATGAGATAATTATGAAATAATTAAGAGGGAAGGCACTGGAATTAAGAAGGATTGGGAAAGGCTTCTTATGGAAGGTGGGTTTAGTTGAGATAGAAAGTTCCTACAGACAGTAACATGTTCATAGAAGCACTTTTGTAGTATAAAGAACATAGGAAATGCACACAAAGATGGTAATACTGCATTCACTCAGAAAAATACCACCACCATGTTCAAGAACTCTGAGATCCCCTTAATTAACCATAATCTCTTGTGGTCAGATAAGGGGACCACCTCTTAATAAATAATCTATTTCTGCCTTTCCCTCTGTCTTCCCTTTACCAAATCCTAATCTTCATCGAAACCATGACATTTGATCCTTTGACCCCTTAATTCTCTCCCAGGCCATCACTCCTATACTAGCCAATCTTTCTTATTCTCATCTTGACCCCTTGGTGGAACAATTCAACTCTACACTGTCCTCCTCTCCTGAATCCCTAGCCCCCTTAGCATTTGGCCTATTACACCCTGCCAAGTCTCAGCCTTGGATCAATCCTATAATTCACCACCTTCCTTCCTACATACATGCTACTAAATGAAGGTGGAAAAAAAACCACACAACCATTCTAGCAGGGTCCACTACAAATTGATGTTGCACAACCTCAATTAGGTCCTTACTGCTACTAGGAAATCCTACTCTACCTCCTTTATCAACTTGCTATCCCATTCTCCACAAAGGCTCTTCAAAAGCTTTTCATCCCTCCTCAAACCTCCCATGGGTCACCCCACTCTGTCTGCTGAGAACCTTGCCTCATATTGTACAGGAAAAAGTTGAAGCCATTTGCCATGAGCTTTCTCTTCTCCCCTTCTCCTCATCTCCTATCACATTATGAAGTGGCCTTACTCCTTACTGATGGAATCCTAATAAAGCTGCCCCCCAGTCCCAATATTCTAACTTCCTTATGGGCCTCACCATACCCTTCAACCCTTTGTAGCTAAACTCGTTAAGAAGGCCATCTATAATAGGTGCCTCCACTTTCTCTCTGCTCACTCTCATCATTCCAACTCTAACTCTTACAATCTGGCTTCTGACCTCATCATTCCACTGAAACTATTATCCCCAAATTACCAGTTATTCCTTTAATTGCCATCTCTAAGGGCTTTTACTCTTTCCTTATTCTCCTCAGGCCACTGACACTATGGACCACCCTCTTCTCCTTGATACTCTCTACTCTCTAGGTTTTGGGGACACCACTCTCTCCTGGTTCTCCTACCTATCTGACCAGTCCTTTTTGGTCTCCCCTGCTGTATCTTCATCCGGGTCTCACGCTCTAACTGTAAGTATCTCAAGCCTTCTTCTCTCCTCCTTCTATACTACTTGGGGATTTCATCAGCTCTTATGGATTTAATGACCACCTCTATGCTGATGACCCTCAAATCTACCTATCCTGCCCCAGCCTCTCTTCAGACCTCCAATCTTATATCTCCAACTGCCTTTCAGACATCTCAAACTAGATGTCCAATAGACATCTTAAACTCAATACGTTTTGGAAATGGAACTCATTATCTTTCCCCCTAAACATTTCTCTACCTTCTACCTTCCCTATTAATTGTAGAGGGCACCACCATCCTCCTAACCCTGAAGCTAACAACCTAGAAGTCATCCTGGACTCCTCAATTTCTCCCACCTCCCTATATCCAAGGTGTTACCAAGGCCTGTTGATTTTACTTCTGCAGCATCCCTCAAATACAGCCCTTCTCTCTTCTGACACTGCCACCAGTCCAGTTTAGGCCCTGATCACCTCACACCTAGACTACCATAATAGCTGCTTGGGGGGGTGGGTCTTTCCTACCTCAAGTCTCTCCCCACTCCAATCCATTCTCCATTCAGCCATCAAAGTGATCTTCCTAAACTGCAATTCTGACAATGTCCCTCCCCTACTCAGTAAACTTCAGTGGCTTCCTACTGCCTCCAGGATTAACTACAAAATCCTCTGGCATTCAAAGCTCTTCATAACCTGCCATCCTCCTCCATCTTTCCAATCTTCTTATACCTTACTCCCCAATGTGTACTCTATGTTACATTGGCCTCCTGGTTGTTTCATGAACAAGACATGTCACCTCTCTGCTCTGGGCATTCTGACTGTTCCCCATGCCTGGAATCGTCTCCCTTCTCATCTCTGCCTCCTGGTTTCCCTCAAGTCCCACCTAAAATTCCATCTTCTACCCAAAGCCTTTCCCAACCCCTCTTAATTCTAGCGCTTTTCCTGTAAATTATTTTTCCATTTATCCCATTTATAGCTTGTTTGTACATATTTGTCTGTTCTCACATACATATATATCTCTCCCATTAGAATGTAAGCCCCTTGAGGGCAGGAACTGTCTTTTGCCCCTTTTTGTATCCCCAGAACTGTGCTAAGGCACAGTGTCTGGCACACAGTGGATTCTTAATAAATGCTTATTGACTGAATGATCAGAGTGTGGCTTGGCTACATAAACTGTAGTACATGAATATAACGGAATGCTGTTACACCATAAGAAACAATGAATGTGAAGAGTGTAGATAAGCAGTACAGATAAGACTATAGATATGCACATATGAGTGGATATAAAATGAATCACTCAAATGAAGTAAGTAGAACCAGGAAAATGATACACACAATGACTACAACAACGAAAATAGAAAGAACAACAACAAATATAAACTGAATGTACCTCCTCCCTTTTGGAGAGGCAGAGGAGTGTAAGTGTGAAACCCTGCAGATACCATCAGACTTGGTTTTGGTGAACTGCCTTTTCCCCCTTTCTTTTTTAGTCTTTGTAATTAGACAACTCTTTAAGACTATAAGTTGCAGACAAGGTGCTAACCTGTACAGGTAGAGAGAGTTTCCTCATTCAAGAGTTCCCTACCAATGAAATCCTAGGTCCAGTCCCTATCCTAATTAGGAATGGGTGTCTGGGTGGGGGAGGTACATAATGGGAAATGAAGGTGGTGTACTAATAAAATTCATCAGAACAAATTTTTTTTTAAAGAAAGGGAAAAAACTTCATTTCTTAGAGAGATAAGAAAGGTTTACCTGATTCCTGAGTTCTTGATAACTGACTCTTTGGTGCTTGAACATCCCAGTCTAAATTGCAGTTAGTCTTTGCAGAACTCAAAGAACGAAGACTTGATCTAACTTCGCTGGGCATACAGCCATACAATTCATCTGAAATAACAAGGGATATATGAAATTATGAGGCATACACGGCTTGCATATCATATGTGTTGATGACATGTAGCTGAAAAGGATGTTACATGCTGGATGCCATAGCATAGCTCCCAAGAATCCCAACATGGCAGGACAAAGAGCCAGCCATCACAAAGAGGAAATTAAAGAGGAATCAATGTAAAGTTCTACATTTGAACATAAAAAGTAACTTCTATGCATGTAGGATGAGGAGAAATATGGCTAGATAATGGTGCATGTGAAAAAGACTTGAAAGCAAAGACAGGAATGAAGAGGTTTTCTTATCTGCTGGCTTTTAAACATTTAGCTAGCAATTGTTCACTTATGACACAAGTGGTGAATGAAAGTGACATCCCCTAAGCTGAGCTGGCAGGCAGCTGCTAAGCTGTATATACCCCCAACTCCATTTTTCCTACTACTTAAGACACTTTTACTTGCTGCCTGAGTAGGTAAGAGACAGGGGTTATTGGGGGTTTTTTAAAGCCACTTCTTCATGCCTTCCACAGGGTTCTACTTCTACCCCTTCCCAGTCACCCATCTTGCTCCCCACAAATCTCAAATCTCCTATCCATTTAGTCCTGTGGCCATCATGCAGATGACCTAGTATTCCCAGGCTTGGGCCCCATGGCCACTAAAATCACTTCCCTTTCTCTCCATCTCCAAAGGAAATATGTAGACTGCCCACCACTTTCATCTCCAAGAGCCATGTCTACACCAGAGCAATAAGGAAAAATACCAAGTTCAAGTAGAAAACCACCAAACTGGGAGTAAACTGACCTATCCTCTAGTTCAAGTTATGCCCTAAATAGCTGTGTGACCTTAAGCAATTTCAATCCTTGGGGACTTTTTCTTCATCTCAAAGATGAGGAAAATGGACCTAGATGATGTTGAAGGTTCTTTCCAATTCAGCAATAATGAATGAAACTTTAATTGTAGTTAACACAAAGGTAAAAGACTCTTATACATGCACACACAACTATTTTTTGTTGATCTTAACTACTGAAATGAGGGAGAGCCAAAAGAGAAAATTTTAGAAATCTTGCTACAATGAGGCCAAACACCACATTGCCTTTATTTCAGCCAATGGTGATTTTCCAAATATTTCAAGTCACGACAAGCTTAAAGTCCACAGCTAGCTTACCTCCACTGTCTGGCCATTTCCTGTATGCTCGTCTGGAGCCTGACACGGATCTCTTTGGCGTAATCATTCGAGGAGGTATTACTTGGCTGTAGTCACTACTTATGGATGGAGACTGGTATGGAGGAAAACTAGGCAGAGATGAAGTATTTCTGGATCTGCCTGAAAATGCCTGGGGATAGTCATAATAATCCTCATCTTCCTCGGAATCATACAACTCCTGATTACCATAAGCACCGCCTATCTGAGATTGGAAAGAGGCGCTGGGAATCTTAAAAGGTGCTGAGGCAGCTGCATAGGCATTTTCCTGTAGAAAGCCTGAAGAGAAAGTGGATAATGCATGTGACTCTACGTGTTTCAATTTAATTCTAATTCTGTCTTTTTCATACATAATATATCAACGGTGTGGTACATGATGGAAGCACATTGGATTTGAGTCAGAGGACCTGGGTTCAAATATGGCTCTGCTCTATCTACTTCCTGATTGACCTTAAACAAATCACTTCCCCTTTCTGGGCTTCAATTTTCTCAACTGTATAATGAAAGGCGTGGAATACATCATCTCTAAGTTCCCTTTTAACTCCAAATTCTATGATTACATGATCATCCGATATTTAGCAAGCTAAGCAAACCCAGATATTTTAGGAACTTTTCAGGTTATGAACTTTATTCATATCGTGACACAAAATAAACATTGTGCCATTTAAACTGCTGGCCAAGAGGCAGCTAGTTGGTGCAGTGGATAGAGCACCAGCTCTAGACTCAGGAGGACCTGAGTTCAAATCTGGCCTCAGACACATGACACTTACTAGCTGTGTGACCCTGGGCAAGTCATTTAACCCCCATTGCCTCACCAAAAAAAAAAAATAATAAAAAAAAATAAATTGTTGGCCAAGATTATTTTCAACTACAATGAATTGTTTGTGGGGAATGTCATTAAAGAAATTTACTTAAATAAACATGGTTACAAATAGTATAATTCAAGGTAGAGTATGACGGGGCTGCAAAGGAGAGAGCCAAAGTACTCCAAAAAGTTTTGAGATGTGAGAGAGAAAAAGAACAGGAGGATCAAGGAAGGTTTTATAGCAGAAGTAACACTTGAGTTGGAGCCTTGAAGCAAGAAAAGGGCCTCAATAGATAAAGCTACAGAGTGTGTTCTGGGGATGGAGGATTATCGGCAGGAGGGGACAGGGCAGAATCAGGAAACAACTGGGAGTCCAGTTGAGCTGGAACATATAGTACAGGAAATGGATTAAGACCACGAAGGTACACTGGCATCAAATTGGAAAAGGCTTTAAATGCCAGGCTAAGGAGTTTATGCTTTCTCCTACAGGCAAGAGAAAGCCATTAAAGCTTCTTGAGGAGGGCAGTGATGTGGTCAGACCTGTGCTTTTGGAATATAGATGTGGAAGATGGATTGGAGAAAGGAAAGGCTGGAGGCTGGGAATTTAATAGGGAGGCTGTTGCAATCATCTAGAAAAGAGGCTGTCTGGAGAGAAGGGGCCAGATTCAAGACCCTTATTGAGGTACTTGGCAGTTGGGGGAGATTTTGGCTGAATGGAAAGACAGTGGTACCATCAATAGAAATAGGAAAGTTGAGAAAAAGGGGCATGTTTATGGGGAAAGATGATGAAGTCATTTTTTAACACACTGAGGCTGATATGTTAGTAGGACATCTATGTCAAAAAGTTGGAAATGTCCAACTAGAGAGAAAGGACAGATAGAAATATTTCTGAAATCATCTATATAGAAGTGAAACCCTGGGGGATCACCAAGGGAAAGAATGTAGAGAGAGAAAAGGGCCAAGACCAGATGTTTAGGGGATGCATACACTTTGTGGGCAGCCAGGGGAGCCGCAGGGAAGGAGCCCCAGTGGGGAGTGGGGGGGGGCTGTGGGGAGGTGGCCGGCGGGAGAACACCAGGAGGGGAGGAGGAGGATGAGAAACCAAAAAAAGGAGAAACAGAAGAAAGCAGCAGAGAGGTAGAAGAACCACTGTGTGAAAGGAATGGCACAGACCACAAGGGAAGAGAGTCTCTTGAGGAATTCGAAGAGGCCATAGGATCTGACAAAGAAGAGCTCGTTGATATAACAAGTTGTTAATATAAGTGGAGAGAGCAATTTCAGTAGAGGGAGTAGTGGAGACAAAAGTCAGACTGCAAAGGAATTCTGATTATGTGGGTGGTGAGAGAGGAGATGCAGTGAGTGTAGACAACCCATATTCTTAAAAATTTGGCGGCAAGAAGACATGAGATGATAGCTGGAGGGACAGCAGACTCATGAAGTTTGTTTTGGTTAGGGGCTGGATAAGGGACACTTTCTATAAGCTTGTAGGTAGGATGGAAGGAGCTAGCTGAGAGTCAGAGATGAAGGGTGAGTGAACACAGGAACAAGCTCCTGGAGGCCCAACCAGAGATGTTGGCCTTAGCTAACTGAGTGGAATTATTTTGAGCAAACTGCTTGGTATATCTGAAAGTGCTAGAGAAATGTGAGTAGTTACGGGGCCAAATACAGGCTAAATTCCCCTTATAATAGCTGAAGACGTTTCTAAGCAAGAGCCCACAGCCTTAAGAGCCTGACTAATGGTGATGGGAAAGTCCCTTAGGACTCAAAACACAAGCATATATCCTTTTTCTCTCAACTCTCATACATATGTGTACATGTGTATACCCATAAGTACACAAGAGATATGCAAATAGCCCATTCAAAATCACAGACACACACATAGAAAAGAGAGTGAATGCATGAATGGATGAAGTGCATAGAAGAAGATAGGGTAGGTTGGAGACTATGTGTTAGTGGGTGGCTGAGAGTGAGTGAATGAGATGGGAGCAGTACATGGTTAGCAAAGGGATTGCAGATGGAATTTTGTTTTGATTGGTTCAAGTGTAACTATTTCATGTATGCAATCAATTTCTGCTAGACAGAAGAAAAGTGTAAAAAGTAGGAAATTCAAACATTTTCTGGAGAACTGCATGCCCTCTAACTGCATATCTAATCGCATTCTTCTTAAGTGAAGAACTTTCTCAAACAAAACAATGCTTCTTACTTTCTTCCTGTAGTTGAGCCACCTGCGCATCAGTCAAATACTGAAATTTATATTCCTTAGAGATGGATTCATCAGCAGTCCAATCTATATTCTCTTTAAAAGTTGACTGTGATGGAGAAATGCCAGAATGTCCTTAGGGTATACAAAGAAAGAAACAACTATAACTTATTTGCTGAATTTGCTTACAAACCATATTTCTCAATATGAAATGATCTTGGGTCATTGGAGATTCCTGTTGTAGAAGTGACCCAAATAGATAGCTCAGTAGGTCAGTGTTTAGGCAGAGGGACTATCATTCCCTAAGTCTTAGAAGCTTTTGATATAACCCAACAAACAAGCATTTATTTAGTGCCTATGATGTGCCAGGACCTGGGGACAAAAAGACACAAGATCACCATTAGCTTTTTGGTGGCCTTATCAATCACATCATTCAAATTGAGTTTGCAGTCCAAAAAAGATCCCTGCTTTTTTTCAGATAAGGTGCTATCTAACCAGGTCTCCTTCTTCTTGTACTTGTGAAGTCAATTTTTTGGACACATGTAAGATTTTTCATTTATCCAGGAAGAAAGGAAGTAAGGTTGTTAAATTGCATTTTATTAAATTCAGCCTTGTGTTCAAGTCTATCAAGTGCTCTTCTGAGAAGCTGAGTACACTAACCAGTCAATTCATTAGCTCTTCCTTCCAGTCTGATAGTTGCTAATAATGAACCTAAGAAAAGCTCAGAATCTATTAAATGCATTTCTTTCCTTTTTTGGCAAGGTTGGGGTGGGATGGAGGAGGGTAGATTGGGGGAGGCCAGATCTCTCAATCCCCTCTCATGCTAGAAGTGCAACAGCCACTCACTGCACTATTGATAAGCATGGATGTTTTGAGCTGCTGTTTCTGACCTGGGTCAATTTGCCCCTCCTTAGGCAGCCTGCTGGGTTCCTGCTCCAGTGTACTGAATATTAGTCCCAGACTTGAAGTGGATACCTCACCAGCTTTAGCCCTACTGTAGCTCAAAACTCCTGAACTCAAGTGATCCCCCAAACTGAGCCTCCCGAGCACTGGAAGCTATAGGCATGTACCACCATGACTTGCATGGTATATAGCTTTTCACATGTTAATGCTATGCTTATATTATTTCTACACTTGGCATCACATAAAAGCTCATTAGTAAAACAGAATGACAGAGCTTATGTCTATTTAAGTCCCTTATGCTTTCTTCTTTCCCATTTAATCCTGCTTTCTGCACAACTGACCATTTTTACTTTGTAGATTTCATAGGCCTTACCTGAGGTCCCCCAGGAGAACAGTGGTTTGTGAGCACACTCCAGGGCCATGGAAGCATTTTGGATATTACTACCAAAGTGTGGCTCTATAAATGAACTATACACACGTTTAGGGGCCAATGTGCTTTCACAGAGAGTTTTCCACCTACTTGCTAAGTGGAAAAAGAAAAAGAGGAATACATTAACAATGAAAATAAGATGTCAAGGATAAACTTTTTTTGAAATGGGGTTAGATATTTTAGTTTCAACGACATTTATCTGTAGCAGGAGGTGAGAAAGCCAAGTCTGGTCCTCTGAGGGAGTACTATTCTGGCCATGAGCCTGAAAGCCAAAAGAAAGATTTTGGAATCCCCACTGTGGGACTGAGTTATGTGGTTCCCAATATAACCCAAATAGCCTGCAAATAGAAGATATGATTTGAAAAAATGGCCTCAGAACACTTAAATGCTTCCAAATATAAATAATGAAGAAGGTATTCTGTAATTCAGTAGGAAGTTATTATAATATGGATTATTAATTATAAGGATTTGGATATGCATCATATCCCCTGAAACAAAACATCTAGCAAACTGACTTAACACAGCTTACAAGGCAATATTAACCCTGTCTCTCACAACATCACTGTAATAAAAGGTATGCAATGAATTCTGCAAGAATCAACTACTGAAAATGTGTTAACCTTATTGGAAAATCTAGCATAGTTAATGTGTAATCCTGACTCAGGGCCCAGTGTTCTTTCCACACCTCAGACTTGGTTTCCATACCTTGATCAAGTTCACTCATTAAGGCTGAGCAGGATGCTTTGGTCTCAGGACTGGGATGATCCAGGAATTGACGGCACCACTTTAAAAGAGATTCTGTTTTCTGTTTTCCTGGAGGTCCACTTTTTGGGAAATCACAAAGCCTTCAAGATTGCAAAAGATACATTTATATGTTTAAAGGAAAAGAATGCAAGTCTTTAAATTCTCAAATATCTTCAAATAACTGATCTGTCCTTTCCTCTTCAGAGAACACATCTGCCATAGTTATCTCTTAATATTTTTGATAGGATTTATCCAACGATACATGTGCATAGTGCTTTGACACATTAGTAGACAATAAAAGTTTGTTGAATTGTTTTATTAAAATATTTCACATAGAAATGTAACTTAATATGCTAAGGTATTGCACTCAATTTGAGAGCAAAGTTAACCAATCACTAATATTCATGGAGGTAGGATGTCAAATGTTTCCTACTATCAATCAATGAATAGTCTCACATGACTACGATATACACAAAGCAAATGTGGATGGGTAGGTGAGAAGACCTGTGTATGGTTGTTGAGGTCACTCCTCCATCCTGTCCCCCTAACCATGGCTCTTTCCCTTCCTTTCTTTCCTTCCACTTTGAGACCCTTAATGATCTCTATCTCCATCTCCACAGTTTCATTTAACACTGGAATATGCACTAGCTGATTAGTGACTGGATGTTCAGAGGCAGCTCAATTTCAAAATGCCATCTTAGGCACTGGCCATCTAGAGTGGGGTTCATCTCTCTTAGTTCTCTCTGATGACCAGGAGCTGGGATAGGGGTGGTGCATCTAAGAAATCACAATTCAGATAAACTGAATATAATTTTGTAAGCTTCATGCAAATAAACTTGTATTCAAGTCTTTCATATTGTTGACAAAGCTAGAAAAGATATCACCTTATGAAACAGAACTACACTAAGAATTCCTGAAATTCAGAAAAAAAGAGGGGGGAAGTCCACATTCTTCCAAGATATACATACCAATTGCTGTCATCTCCTTCAGCTAAGTTACCAAGTTCTAATACTTCCACACCATCCAGTACTGGGCCAAACAATGATGTATCAGGGCAGACGCTGCCCGACTCCACAGTGGAAATCTGTCCAGCCATTTTAGAGGTTGTAACTTTGGGCACTGTTGATCTATCTATACGCACTGTACTGCTACCACTATCCACGAGTGCAATGCACTTACTAACCTGAACTTGCATATCGACATCTCCTTTTAAATCTTTGCTCTCTTTTATCTCAAGACTTATCTCACCAACTTGACTCTGTTTTTCTATCTTGCCACTGATACTTCTATTTTCCCCTCTGCTTGGCCCAACATTTTGACTGTCTTTGTCCAAGTTGATTTGTTTCTCTTCATTAGGGACATTTGCCTGGTTCTTAGGTCTTAATGGCTGATTTTGGATTTCAAGCTGTCTTGTTAGTTCTCGTAAATTCTGCATCTCGTCCTCCTCATGATCAGCTTGGTCAGCTGCTGGGTCTGTGTCTAGCTCCTTCACAAGATTCTTTGTAGAACTCTCCCCACTGATCTGGGGATCAGGCTCTTTGATGGGATCATCATCCTCAGGAACTATCATCTTTGCTCAAATGATCAATGTCACACTATGAAAAAGAGGAAAAAAGCAAGATTATTTCCTGTATTCTTCCACACTTTAAAAAGGAGCTGCTATTTTGTTGGTGTGAGTACCTCAACTGACACAGTGCATAACCTTTTGATGCAATGGAAAAAGCACTGAATTTAGAGCCCCAGGACCTGAGTTAAAATTCCAGCTCTGCCACTTACTAGGCTGTGTAATCTTGGGCAAGTAACTTCACACCTCATAGAGTTCATTTCCTCAACTGTAAAATGAGTGGGTTGGATTAGAAAACTTCTGAGGACTCTTCCAGTTTTAAATATGGTGAGGTATTCATTAATTCTACGACTTAGTAAATGGTTATCAAATATAAATGAAAAATGTACCACCCAGTAGCCAATCAGGTGATAAAGACATAGAATAACATATATGGCAGTTAGCAATATATAGCACTCTAGGGTTTGCAAAGTAACATACATAGGTTATGTCATTTGATCCTCACAATAACCCAATTAGGCAGGTGCTATTATCATCTCCATTTTATAGATGAGGAAAATGAGGCTGAAATCGGGTAAGTGACTTACACATAGCTATTAAGTATCTGAGGTAGAATTTAAATTCTGGTTTTCTTGCCTCCACATCTGACACTCATCCCCTATGCCACCTAGCTGCCAATACAAAGTTTAAAGTAATACAAAATAATTATTTTGAGAAAAAGAGAGTATAAATAAAGGGATGGTGGGGGTAGAAGTAAACCAGGAAATGCCTTATACATCACTTATGTGACCTAATACATTTGGATTGGTGACTTGCCATCAAGGATCGTTTCGAACTTTCTTTACAGTCAGTGAACTAAATTGATAAATTTTGATGAACATTTATTAAGCAAGCATCTATATGTGCCAAGAACTGTGCTAAGCACTAGGAATACAAAAAGAGGCAAAAGAGTCCCTGCCCTCAAGTAGCTTACAATCTAATGGGGTAGACAACATGCAAATAAATAAATACAAAGCAAACCATATGCAGGATAAATAGGAAACAATTAAAAGAATGAAGGTACTAAAACTAAGAGAGGTTGGGGAAGGCTTCCTGTAAAAGATGCATTTCAGTATAGACTTAAAGGAAGCTAGGAAAGACAGTAGACAAAGTTAAGGAGAGCATTCCAGGCATGGGAGACAGCCAGAGAGAATGCCCAGAGCAAAGAGATGAAGGGTCTTGTTTGTGGAACAGCCAAGAGGCCAGTGTCACTGGATCAAAGAGCACATGTTGGGGAGTAAGGTGTAATAAGACTAGAAAGGGAAGAAGGAGGTTAGGTCATAAAGGGCTTTGAATGCATTTGTATTGACACTGGAGACGTAGAAAGCCAGTGGAGTTTATTGGGGGTGGCAGAGTAATGACATGGTGGGACCTAAGCTTTAGGAAAGTCATTTTGGTGGCTGAATGCAGGATGGATTGGAGTGGGGAGAAACTTGAGGCAAGCTACTGCAAGAGTTAATCAATCAATGCCAATCAACTGATAAACATGTATTAAGTGAGTACTGTGTGCTAAGAACTGTGCTAAGTGCTAGGGATACAAATAAAGAGCAAAAGACAGGCCCTGCCCTCAAGGAACTCACAGTCTAATGTGGGAGACAACATGCAAACAACTATGCACAAACAAGTTATAGACAGGAGAAATTGGGGGTATTTTCAGGATTAAGGGAGACTAAGAAAGCCTTTTTTGCAGACAGCATCATTTAGCTTAGACATGAATGAACCAAGGGAAGCCAGAAGGCAGAGATGAGGAGAAAAAGAGTTCCAGGAATAGGGGACAGTCAGAAATAGCTCAGAAATAGGAGATGAAGGAAGAGCAAGGAAGTCACAGTTCCTGAATCACAGACAACGTGGCTGAAAAGGTAAGAAAGGGCCAGGTTATAAAGGGTTTTACAAGCCAAACGCAAGTATGAAAAATATCTGTACATACCCAGATGAGTAGACAGATAGAAACATAAGTTTATATATACACCCATCTATGTGAGTATTAATGTATATATAAAGATACACATATCTGTAAGATACACAAAGGTTTATACACATGCACATGCACAATAGTATAAATGTATATACAGGTCCACAATAGATATACATATGCCCACAAAGTAGATATAGACCATATATTTGTGTATATAGCATATACCCATCTATATCCATATACACATGTAAGTATACATGTACACTCATATGTATGCATAGATATGACTGATGTTCCTTTATGTGTATATGTATATGTGATTCATGTATAACTGTGTACTGTTATATTCTATTTATACGCTTGTGCACAAGCTATCTATATAAACATATATATTTATACTTACATGCACATATACATAGATAAGTACATATATTTATGTTCATATAGGTTCAGACATATACACAATACAAATACATATGATATGCTTATATACTAATGGGTATATATGTGTAGATATACATGTATGCTTGTATCATTGTATATTCATATGTATATTTTGTTAATTATGCCTATATCCAATAGTATGCACATACACTTGTGTGTATACATCTATATAGTCACGTAGGTGGTACTCAAACATAACACGTGTATTTATACTTGCATATGCACACACGCATTAGATATGAACTCACATATGTGATATGCATATACTTATATTCTATTTACACATTTGTATGGGTATATTATGTATAGAAATGTGCCCATCTATATACATACAAGTAAATTTATGTGGAGTATATAACTATATGTTACATGTGCACATTCATGTGTACATTATTGATACAAAATACTTGTATACATATAGACTTGTGTGTATAGTAAAGAGAAGTTTATGTATGTATACACATATGTACATATATGGGTAAAATATATATATATGTATACTGTTCAACAAAGTAATATCTGAATTATAGATAACGCTATACACTCAATATCTTAAATATGCAAAATTGTACATGGAGTCAAAGGCATATTAAGAAATGTGTTATATTAACATATATGCGTGATCTATATTTGCATATGGTTTCACTCTCCCTCCATATTACTTTGCACATAAATATCTGTGTACACTCATATGTGTAATTATATAATTGTACCAGGTATATATATAGATATATTTGCATGTGTACATATGCATACGTAATATATGTAGATAAGTACATATATTGTTTATATACAGATATGCACATGTCTGTATATGTTACTAGTATGCATACATATACAAACACAGGTATAGCTATCTCTACTTATATAGGTAGGCTTATATGTTTATTCACAGAAATATATGATACAGAAACAGATATATACTCACTATATATTCATATGTAAGTATGCTATGTGGGCGCGTGCCTGCGCGCGCGCGCGCGCGTGTGTGTGTGTGTGTGTGTGTGTGTGTGTGTGTGTCTGTGTCTGTGTATTTGGAAACTGGGGGGAAGATGAAAGGATTAGGAAGAAGTATTTTTTTGGGTGTCAAGCTTCTCACTAAAACGTTAAGCTGTATGTGTGATCATATGCAGAAAGTGGGGGCAGGTGCAGGGAATAGGATCTGGAATTTATTGGTTTGTATAAAGGTTTCAAATAGCTGTTCTAGGAAGTATGATAAAGATGATGGACCCTCAAGAAGTTAAAGATTACAATGTGAAGGCTCTGTTGAGGTTAGCATAAAAAAAGTCCCCATTTTCCACAGAAAACAACAGTTTTCCTACACGACAAAGATGAAGAACTTTCAAGAGATGAAGGATTATCATATGAGGAACCTTTAGTATAACTAAATGGAACAACAGCTCCAGTCTAGTACCACTGCTGTGTGCTCTACTTGATTTTTTCATTGTTTCATAAAATAAAACAATAAATTTAATAAACATATTTAACAAATGATAAAAAATAATAAAATGAATCAAATAAGTTGGAAGTTGGGTCCAATGTAGTTAGTTCTACTTTTAGACTTGAAAATATCAATGAGCAAAGCCTCAAGGAAAATGCAGTTTAGATACAAGTCCAAAAAGAATTCCTGGAAGAGTAAAAGCGAGAGTTAAAAAATAACTAGAAAAAAAAATTTAAAAACCACTTGAGAGCAAGAGAGGGAAAAAATGGATAAAGGAGTAAGAATCAAAGCAGAAAGATATAAAAAGAGAATTAACAGCTTAGAATGAGAGGTACAATGCATAACTAAAGAAAATAATTCCTTAAAAATTAAAATTGGCCAAAAATAAGCCAATGGTTCCACGAGACACTATGAAATAATAACACAAAGTCAAAAGACAAAAAAAAATAGAAGAAAATGTGAAGTTTCTCACAGCAAAAGCTGGAAAAAAGACTGAGAGATAATTTAAAATATATTAGAATATCTGAAAGACATGACAAAAAAAAGCTTAGACATTATATTTCAAGAAATCATAAATGAAAACTGCCTAGATCTCTTAGAACTAGAGGGCAAAGCAGACACTGAAAAAATTCGCTGGTCATATCCTGAAAAAAATCTTAAAATGAAAACTCTCAGGAAAGTCATGGCCAAAATTGAGAGCTCCAAAGTCAAGGAAAACATGCTATTAGCCAAAAGAAAAATTTCATGTACAGAGCCACAGTTGGATCACATAAGGTCTAGCAGCCTTCACCTATAAAGAAACAAAGAGTTTTGAATATGGTATTCCAAAAGGGACAGGATCTAGACTTACAAGGAAGAACTTACCCAGAAAAACTGAGTATAATCCTACAGGGGAGAAAAACAGACCTTTAATGAAATAAAAAAACGTCCAAGCTTTCCTGATAAAAATACTAGAGCTGAGTAGAAAATGTAACATATACAAACATAGGAGTTAAGAGAAGAATAAAAAAACAATTATGAGGGGATAAAAAAAGTGAGACAGTAATGAAGGTCAAACTGTTTACATTCTTATATAAGGAAATGATACATGGAACCTCTCAGAATTTTATCATCCATAGAGTAGGATTGGGGAAACTTGGGCCTCAAGGCCACATGTGACCCTCTAGGTTCTCAAGTGTGGCCCTTTGACTGA